TCTGAATGAATTTGCCCGATCCATTGTGACTAAAGCAACGCTCAGTCTGGAAACTTAGCTCTCGGGGTTCTAGTCTATCTCTGTCGCCATGCTTGCCTACGGTCATGAGTCGTGGGCCATCACTGTATAACTTCGAACCCGGGTACAAGATGCTGAAATGGGCTTTCTTAGACGAGTTGCTGGCCTTACAGGTATCGATGTGATCCAGAATACATATATCCGTGAGAGCCTTTGTGTACCCCGTGTAGCCGCAGATTGAGAAGTCACAGCTGCGATGGTTTTGGCTTGTGTTGCGAATGCCTTTCGAAAGGGAGAGGAAGTAACTGTTTCTTGTGCAGCCAACCAAAAGGCTCAGGGGACGGCCAAGATTAACCCGGTGCAGATGTTTGGAATGAGTCTGCGCGAGATTCCGGTTATCTTCTTCTGAAGCTCAGACTCTGCTACAGGATCGGGAGAGTACTGTGTGACGCACCTACGTCCGCGACCCGAAACGAGAAGAGGTCATGGAAGATGAAGTTGAACAGGGAAATTCACGCTGTGAATTATGCATATTAAGCCGCAATTTTCAGTATTTTTCAGCCACCCATAATGGATCCATCATGAAATGAGTCAAGGCAAGAATAACTCTGTTTTTTTGAGCTCTTTTCGATCACATGTGTTTATTGTTCTTAATTTTGTACTAAGATATATGGGTTACAAAACGTGGCAAGACAAGGAGGCTAATTGTTGTTGGAGTGGATACTAGTGTCCATATACAGGTAAAGTTTCAGGATATGCCTTCGAGTTTTCTGAAAAATATTTTCGCATCAAGACAGCTTCTACTGTGTTATTAATTTATCGGTTTTTAAAATTCACGGACCGACGAAATCAGACGCTAGGTAAAGAATTGGAATATGCACCATTTTATGAAAAGTCACCTCTTTAGATCTGTCGTCTACCACAAGTGAATGCTTGCGAGTTTATACTTTGTGGCGCGGTGTTGCGGCACAGTGCTTAAGAGATCAGCTTTGAAATCCGGAGGTGTGAAGATTGAACCTGTTCGATGAACAGGACAACTTTTATCCTAAACGCTATTTCTCATCAGCAAAGAATTATCTTCACGTTGCTTCAGCTTAACCAGCTGGGAAACGAGTAAAAATCCGCTGACCCTCGAAAAATAAGTACAAAGTGGTATTTTGGTCGAGTCATTCCGGAATGCCCCTGTGGCTGCAATTCGCCTTGACCCACCAGATTGCTGACTCTCCAGTGTAATAGCAAGCCCAGTGTATGACCCTGATTTCGATTTCTCTCAGCAATAGCCATTACATGCTGACAAACGAGAAACCTTTTGATGAAATGGCTACGAAACGTTTGTTGAGTTTTACAGCCAGCCACCACCATTGTCAGCAACTTTGCATAGAGGAAGCCACAGAAGTATGAAAGGTGTACATTTTTTGGAATAGTGTTCAAATCGTTGGCTTCGTGTATAATTCGTCTCTCATTCGACGGGAAAGTTATGGAAAACTTCCTCATGGTTTTTCATGATCATTTTTATTTATTGAAAATTATTTATTGATAATGATCCATACTTTAATGCCTGTTTATATTTTTTTCATTTATGCTAACGAGTAAGAATTGTTTGTGATCTTGCTCTTGTACAAGTCGTGATCGATTACTTCTTTTACCAGTTATTGATTGTACAGCGTAGATATACACTTCATAAATCATTTTGAATAACAACATAAACCGTCAGTCGTCTTCGATATCTATATGCAATGGATTTTAATGCGTCACTTGCTTATGGTACTCACGTATACGTTAGTTTTTGAGCATGGTTGAAAATTGAGTGAAACTTCTTGCATATAAGCTGCATGTTCATCTATTCAAGGCAGTACGAAAAACTGATTATCAGCCATGTTATTCAGTTATTACGTGATTAACATGTTAAAATGAGTCAAACATAATACGTTGACAAATACGAGTCGAGAAGTGGGTTCAACAACAGTGCGCCGTAGAGTCGAACTTTCGGGGTATTACGCTATTATCCCCAATTTCTCCCAATTCAACCATAGCAAACGAGACACCATGTCTAAAATGAAGGACACAGAAACGAAATGTTGCGGCCGAGTAACGCCAGTTCTCTCATACCACTTGTAGCCCAACGGAGTACCTTCTGCGGAGGCGTTCCAGGATGAAGACTTCTGTTTACGTAAGTCAAAGGGTTTTCGTCGACTTCGAGCAAGTCTTCGAGAAAGGCAATGTAAGCCATGGCCAGATGAAGGATTTCGATCTTCGACAGACGAGTTTCGAACGGAAACTGAGGAAGACGACTGCGCAGCACCTAAATGAAAGACTGATCAGCATTAGCGACGCGAAAAAGCCTCAAAATATACCAAACAATCAAGGATACACCGCGACCGTTAAATGTACACCTGCTATGTGGTTGCATTAAAACTTAACATAAGTATGTTAACAGAGAGAGAAAAATGATCTGCAGCATATATCGTGTAAAGACGTTAAGAAGCCATTTACAAAATATAGATTTTCTGGAGTTTGTACGAAAAGAAGCAGTGCCGAAAAAAGGCTAAGAATCCTTTCATGCAGTCACTGTACGAAGTTTAAAGACCGCTTTCTCACAGAGGTAACGCCTCAGACATCCTCTCCAAAGTTCCGACACTGTGCCATTATTTGAGCTTCGGCAGAAGATAATCCGAGTCTGGGGACACATTTGCCCCAGGCTAATCTTGACCATCTCGGGGGGTCACCGGCCGGTCGGTCGAGCAACTAGTCTCAATTTCCCCTTCGTTTCGAGAAGCATTCGCAAGACATGTGAAAAGTATCGCAGATGCGACTTTTCAATCTGCAGATACAGCGGCTGCACGGCAAGACCTTTCCGAATATCTGTACTCCGGATCATGTCGAGAAACGTGAGCCCAACGGTTAGTTTCAGAAAGCTTATTTTGGCCTCTTGTACCGGCAGTCGTGGTATTTCGGTCATTACCCAGAGTTCACGACTGTAGAGGAGTATCAGGATGAGGACTGGCTTGAACACCAAGATCTTAGTCCTCAAACTCAGCTCTGCCTTAGCTACAACGGTTAGCCTAGTTCACGCAGATGCAGTTGACCATTCTAATTCGTAGGTCAATCTCATAGGCGCTGTACGCTTTTCGTTTCAGACATGGTTACACGCATCCCGGTCACGTTGCAATTTGCTCTGAGGTATTCGAGAGAGCGCTAGAGGCCAGTTCCGGAAGATTCTTTCGAAACAAGGTCGTCTCCACCCGCTGGCAACGTTCTAGTCTTCACATCTCCTGCGCCTATGCACTCGTCTCCTGGCTGTGCCTGACTATTCTATCCGCGTACAATAGAAAGAGTAGATGGAACAAAACACACACTCGGCAAAGACCAGTGCCAAAGCTGAAATTTTTCGTCATAAGACCATTAGCTCTGACGCAACACGTGCTATCACCTCGTAATGAATGGGTGACTCATAGCAATTGGCCTTCGATCCCACATGTTTGCCTCCACACCACAGCTCGTTGCGCAGGATCCAGTCAG